TTTTTAATAAACCAGACCCCCAAGAAAGGATTTTTGGATTGAGTTTGGACATAGTATGAAAACCCCAAGAAGGAGAAAAGACAAAGTCCAATACTAGATCAGGTCAATTACTTAAATGAGCGATGGTGTGATTTTATAATTATAAATCTTCCCACTCATGTTGACAGCAACCCGATTTTAGATTTTGTATACACTCTTGGGTATACAAAAATAACATTACCTATTAAAGAATATAAAGTTCATATGACAGCAAGTCAGTGCGCTTCTATGGGTACATGTGCACTGCAATTGGGAGGTGTCAATGAAGCAAATCTAGACATAGCTGGTTCAGATCTAGCTCAAGTAACAATGGCAGTGAAGCAGCAGCACAGGCAGAAATCACTCAGGAATGCATCCACTTCTTCCCCCTGGATGGGAGGAGCAAATCCTTGAAGATGCCCCAAATGCAGCAGTTTCATTGCTATTATTACTCAAGCTAGATCAAACTTTCCAACAGCAATGTAGACATACCCTATGATGTGTTGAACAGTGCAGAAGGAGTGATGGGCAGAAGGAGCGCAGAAGGAGGGATGTTCCTTAGGGTTCTGTTTTGGGACCGGCTCTGTTCAATATCTTCATCAACGATTTAGATATTGGTATAGAAAGTACGCTTATTAAGTTTGCAGATGATACCAAGCTGGGAGGGATTGCGACTCATCTGGAGGATAGGGTCATAATTCAAAATGACCTGGACAAATTGGAGAAATGGTCTGAGATAAATAGGATGAAGTTTAATAAAGACAAATGCAAAGTGCTCCACTTAGGAAGGAACAATCAGTTTCACACATACAGAATGGGAAGCGATGGTCTGGGAAGGAGTACGGCAGAAAGGGATCTAGGGGTTATAGTGGACCACAAGTTAAATACGAGTCAGCAGTGTGATGCTGTTGCAAAAAAAGCAAACATGATTCTGGGATGTATTAATAGGTGTGTTGTGAGCAAGACACAAGAAGTCATTCTTCCACTCTACTCTGCACTGGTTAGGCCTGAATTGGAGTATTGTGTCCAGTCCTGGGCACCGCATTTCAAGAAAGACGTGGAAAAATTGGAGAGGGTCCAGAGAAGAGCAACGAGAATGATTAAAGGTCTAGAGAACATGACCTATGAGGAAAGGCTGAAGGAATTGGGTTTGTTTAGTTTAGAAACGAGAAGATTGAGGGGGGACATGATAGCAGTTTTCAGATATCTAAAAGAGTGTCATAAGGAGGAGGGAGAAAACTTGTTCATCTTAGCCTTTGAGGATAGAACAAGAAGCAATGGGCTTAAACTGCAGCAAGGGAGGTTTAGGATGGACATTAGGAAAAACTTCCTAACTGTCAGGATGGTCAAACACTGGAATAAATTGCCCAGGGAGGTTGTGGAATCCCCATCTCTGAAGATATTTAAGAGTAGGTTAGATAAATGTCTATCAGGGATGGTCTAGACAGTATTTAGTCCTGCCATGAGGGAAGGGGACTGGACTCAATGACCTCTCAAGGTCCCTTCCAGTTCTAGTATTCTATGATTCTATGGCATATAACGTCTTCAAAATTGGTAGGTTAGCCCTGTGGCAAGGATAAAACATGTTCTACAACATTTGAAGTGAACCAAACACAAAAAGGCAAAGAAAAGCTACTTTATTGGACTCCATCAGCTGGAATCTACTTCCCAAGATCCTGGGGAGTAGGCAACAATTGGTAAAGCCCAGCAATATCAGGCTTATGTGCATACACATCCATGAACCAAGTCTGCAGATCCAAACTTTGTATCTATAAAGAGCTCTAACAATTAGTCCATGATATGGGTGGACTAGCCAATCTTTTAATGTTTAATCATTACCAATAACCTTAGGTACAGCCAGCTAAGTCTTCAACAATTTGAGATGGCCTGTGACAGCAATCAGGTTATGAAATCCTGAAAAAAATAAACCATTTAATCTAGAAGCTAAAATCAATGAATAATATTAACCTTGGTGTATCAGCATCACAGCAGTGAAGAACATGATCAACTCACACACGGACTTCACTGGGTAAAAAGGCAACTGGTATGGCAGTGTTAGTTTCATAGCAATCTCCAGCCTTTACCGTTGTAGTGTTCCCCACCAAAAATGTATGGAGTAATTGAACAATTATTTAAGAGTTTTTAATTCACTAACCTTTTGATTCCTGTATGTAGCCACATGTACAAGCCCAACCTTCCTATGTGAACTCTTCCCATTTAAGCTCTTGCATGCATATCAGAGGCAAAGCCTACACAGACAGTACTCACCACATTGTTAAGAGCCTTCTGATGCTTCTCAAGCACAACATTCAGCCCTGGCTTTAGGACACCCCTGGAAAATGCTGCCTGGAGCTACGCAGAAGGAGAAGACTGGTTAGGGATTAGTCCAGAGAAGATGTATTATGGTCCTTGCAAGGGGCTGAACACTTGGACCAATGCAGGGATT